ATGATCTGGATCATGATTTTGAATTCATGATTATGAAAACCAATCTAGTATTTTCGGGGCTAGTTTTATCCTGTAAATCTCCTAAAATTGTTTGATATCACAGGTTCATGAGGAGCTCGTTCAGGCAATTAAGGATGCAGAAGAAGGACTTTTTCACCTAAAACGTGCACGACTGTTACAGGAAGCAGATTCAGTGCTGCATAACACTAATATTTTTACTGAAGAAGAGAAAGTGGAGCCCCTTGATCCCACAGATGTTGAACCAGAGCCATTGGAAGAACAATGTTATTCTGTAGGATCTAAATGTAGATTTCGTCACAAAGATGGGCGTTGGTACAATGGTCAAGTGGTGCAGTTGGATAATTCATTGGCAAAAGTTTCATTCCTTACTCCTACTTCTGAGAATATGCTGGTATGTAAGACTATCTTGGGTCAAGTATGACTATTTTCTTCTTACTTTGGTGTATAATATTGTATTTTAAGGCCATGTTTGTATGAATTTCTTCATAAAGGCTTAAGATAAATAGAAATAAGCTTCTCTCCAAAACTAAAATTAGCTTATAGGACAAACTTGATTCATTTTATTTTCCTATTATCTTCTCCTCTAAGTGTTTATGAAGAAGTTTATCCAAACATGGCCTAAGTTTTTAACTAGTGCAGTTTTTCTTCCCCTCATGTTTCCTCTACTGTAACTAATATTGAGAAAATAAGGGATTTTGAACTAACTTTCCTTTGCCTAATTCGGGATTGAATTTAATTAATAAATAAGGAAATTAGGCAACACAGGTATATCATGGGTATTAAGCTTTATTTTCAATTTTCCTTGGATTTATGTAGTAGTAGAAAAAAAAAGTCAATGATAAGGTTTGCTGTCTCCAGTACATTAACTCACTCCAAAGGAAAGTGATTAGTCACATGTTGCCATAGTTTAAGCAGGAATTTTGGGTCAATACCCTGTCGAATGTTGGTCCTTATACAATGTATATCTTCCAGCATGTGAGTTTCTGAATTCAAATACCAAAAGCCAATGACTTAGAAAAATCAGATAATTGGCAATTTTTCTTTTAAATGGAATTCCCTATATTATACCATTCCTATCATATTGCTAGGATTTCAGTCTGTGTTTGTTTTGGTATTCCTTATTCTCCATCTCCTTGTACTGTTTTTTCTTTCCAATTCAAATGCAACTTTTATCTATATTTCTATACTAATAATAAGGGAAATACTCATATTTGGTGTACACATTTTATAGTCAATTTTACCCTTTATTTCCTCCTTAACCATCCATTATTCTCTGTTAAAATGCATTAACTACCCCACTACTCTATAATGCAATGCACACACCCATATTCTTTTCAAACTCCATCCTCTTTTTCCATCTCTTGTTTTATTTTCATTTTTAAAAAATATGTAGAGAGGCATGGAATCTTTCTGTATTCCTTTCTTATCCCTATCTTACCATCTTAGTTACAAGACATCTCAAGGACTTCAAAGTATCCTCAACTGCCATTAATTGCCTTATATGATGTAAATCAAGAAAGGTCATTCTAATTGAACATTGGGCCAGTTTGTTGAAATTAAAAAAAAGCAATTATAAAAAATGTAGTTTTTATAAAGTAATTTTTGAAGAAGCAAATAAGAGTTGCTTCTTAAAAAAAAAAAAGTAGATATATTTTTTTTTATTTAAAAAAATGCAATTTAGAAAAACACATCAAAAAAATTTAAAATTGCTTATTTTATTAATTTTTTTTTTTTTACAAAAAGTTTAAACAAACAGGCCCATTATATTATATGTATAAAATGTATATAATATTTGAGAGTAGTAATATGAAATTTCTACTTATTTGAACAAGTTTTCTTTAACATTGTTATTCCTCCAAATATAGGTTTCAGATTATTCAATAAAATCAATTTTTTTTCATATCATAATCGTTGTACTAATACTAGAACACCGAAGTGCAGATGTGCAAGTTCTTTTTACAACAACGATGTCGATTTGGTAGTAACTGTCGCCTATCACATGGTAAGCTGCTGAGCAAATTGAACAAAATTGGATAGAGGTGAAATCACATAGACCTCTTTGTAATTGACTTTGTCACTAAACATTAGTGCCACTTGCACTTTTAGGTGCAAATATTCAATGAGCATTTGTACCCTTGGTGTCTTTGATAACTTGTTGAATCAAATCTTTGTTAAGATTTTGGGAGGTAGGTCATGTAAATAAACTAGGGGGTTGAAGTTTTAATTATTTGAGTGACATAACTTCAGCAATCAGCATATCAAGGGATTTTTTTATTTATTTTTAATTTGTGATTTTTCCATTTTGAGATATCAATTTTGTATTACATCGTAAAAGTGTAGGTGCCTTGTGTACTTTCACCTAGAGGAGGCTGGTTTAATTATTGCTACCCATATCTAAATTCCATTTAGATTTATCATGTGCTTTGTGTTTGCAGTTTTCTTTCTTTGAATAAAAAATAGCACATTACAATCCTTTTCTGCTTTAATGTTTATGGCATCTTGGGTAAAATTATTCACAGCTTGCCTCATTGAATCTTTTTCAGACACTTTACTAGGTTTCTTGGCACATACTTTTAAGACACTATAACATTGGGGGATCAGAACAAAATTGTAAAAAAGAAAGAAAATGATAATCTTAGTAATGTTAATCCAATTGATTCATCTTTTAACTTATGAGGAATTTGAAGGGTTATAATCCTTGAAATTTATTGTTTGGATGCAGAAAACTGCTGCAAAACCCGATTTGTTATGCAAGTTTTTGTCGTTCCAGCCTGTGGACCTTTGTATACCACAGTCCTATTTTGTTATGTATATGATAACTTTTGTTCTGTCTACATCTGCAGGAGTTGATGTTCAACTATCTGCTCTTAAGAAATATGTCCCTACAATCTGGAAGCAGTCCCTTGTGGGGTCAAGTATATGGGCAGTCTCAACTGAAAATGCAAGCACTTGGAGAGAAGCCGAGCTCGAGTCCTGGGACGAGAAAGCTGGAGTTGGTCAAGTTGTATTCCGAGACGATGGAAGTTCTGTGAAACTTGGTGTAGAAGAAATGGCACTGTCTGAACATGCAGAAGTAAGTGACTCAGAGAGCGATTCCAGCTTTGAACAATCCGATTCCACCGACTCTGAGGAAGAGGAGGAATCACAAGGTTTAGGATTTCTGGAGAGTACCAACCTACAGAGAGGTGTTCAAACCGAAACTGCGAAATTTGCCAAGTGGGAGAACCACACTAGAGGCATAGCTTCCAAAATGATGGCTAATATGGGGTACATAGAAGGAATGGGTTTAGGTTTAACTGGTCAGGGAATGCTGGACCCCATACCAGTGAAGGTGCTACCACCAAAGCAGTCCTTAGATCATGCGCTCGAGTCTCATAAAAGAGAAGAGAATGGGGAGAAGCAAGACAAGAAAAAACGCAGCCGAGGTGGTAAGAGAAAACGTGACAAGAAATTTGCTGAAGCAAATCGTGCAGCAAAAGAGGAAGATGAGTCGGCGTCAGATGTCTTTGCATTGATAAACAATCAGCTGGCAATGCACAGTGAGGCTATCAACGGTGGATCATCCAAGAAGCAGCAAAGTAAAGGTTCAGATGAGGGTAAGAAGGTGGATAGACGGGCGTTGGTTGCTTATGAAGAAGAGGTGAAGGATTTGAAGATGAGGGTTGAGAAGCTTGAACATATTGTGAATGCCAATAGAAAAGAGAAGGCTGTTTATGAGGGTGCTATGAGAAAATTGAATGAAACCCGCAAGGCTTTAGCAGATGCTGAAGCAGTTCATGCCTCTGCATCAAATGCAGTTGTTAGCAAAGAAAAAGAGAAGAGATGGCTCAAGTTTTAGTTAGCAGTTAGGATGTTTAGTTGAATGGTATAATGTGCCTTTAGTTTATTCCAATGCTGATGACCTTCAAATGAAATGAAGGAAAGGAGATTTCAATATGTGTAGTTCAGCTAAGATGTTAGTACATTGCACTTTTGTGTATGCAACCTTGTACATGTTATGCGATTATTCTTCAATTGCATGATATATGCACTTATATTTTATTTTATTGAATCTTTGTGTCGAGAATGACACTTTTTTGACTTGACCTTGGAGTCCCTCCAAGCCTCTGATGTTGGTCTTATTTATTTTTTATTCTAGGATCTTTGTTATGTCAGAGTTAGATAAGATCACTCGACTAATTTGGGTGGAGTTTAATAAGATTACTCTGTTCTTTTGATGCATCGTGTGTGGAATCACTTGCACAAAATTAGCCAAAGGAGTATAATCCAAGGGCAACAATATCAAGCGAATTGACTAGTTACTGCTCAACCAGCTCAAGAATCAATAAATGAACCTTCAATTTTGATCATTTCCTCCCTAGATTTTTGATCATAATGGTGATAATCATTACAATAAACATTCATTTGTTCAACCAAAATAAAAGGTCTTAGAACACATGATGTGAATTGTTGGTTAGTAGTCTTGTCTAAATTAACCAAATATTATTCTGTTCAAAGTGAGATTGAAACATCTAATATATGACCTTCAGCTTGTTTTAATAAAAAAATGCAAGCAATGGCTGTTTTAACTGTAGGCATTAGCACAGCTAGGCCTAGGTTCCGTCACCTAACCAATAATTATATATTGGACAAAGATTGTTTGAAAGAGCTTATTTATAATTTATTTACTATTTGTCGGATAAACTTTTCCATAAATATGTTTAATAGAAAGAAAATTAATTTTTTTAAGTTAAAATTAATTTATACATAAATTAAAAACTGTTTTAGAGAATTTAGTATTAGAGAACTTCATTAGTTTAAACTAATTTTATCTTTTGAAAAAAATTATTTCATATTTTCTTTTAAAAATATTTTTGGAAAAGTTTATCCACACAGACGTTTAGACTTTGAACGCAAACACTTATGTAGACATGCAACAATTTAAAGACTAGGAACATATTTATCAAGCACATATAAAATTCTATATACACTAAGAATTCATGAAGCAAGTCCTGTTACTTCACCACCTGCCTCTGACAGAGGTTGTACACGCATTGGCCTAGTGAAAAATTTTCACTGTATTATCTCATTGAGGTGGTATGCTCAATGCAGCAGCAATAGTCATACGGTAAATTCCAACCCCAGATGCACAAATACATTGTGCTGGTAGTGGTTGCAATAAACTCAGCATACCAATTTGATGCAACTGAAGCATCTAATTCTCATAACCCCATTAGGTCATGATAACTCAACATTCCTTGGACCTTTTTTGGAACGAGAACCCTTTGGCTTTTCATGAATATTATCTTTACCAGAAATAGATTTTTTATCAAGAGACTCAGGCTAGTTTCTATCATTTCCATCTTCACAAGCATTGCCAGTGCTACCAATTTCATCATCAGCACTACTTTCACCTGAATCTGTTTCACTCCCATCATCAGCCAACGGAATCACAGGCTGACAACTGGAAATAACAGATTCAGCAGCAGCCACTGCATCAGGTGTATGAAGATCAGCAACACCAACCATCAAATTCTTCAATAAGATGAAACCAAAATCAATAATTTAATTTAATCCACTATTTGGAAGTCAGCAATATATACACTTAGTACTAACTATACACTCTTTATTATTGGTTAAAACTTAATAGAATCAAATATATTATACACTCTTTATTATTGGTTAAAACTTATTAGAATCAAATATATTATGAGAGAGACTTTGAACCTATATAAAACCTTATTAAAAATTTCTCTATTGAAAATAAGGAACTTTTTCCAGTAGAAAAACTTTAAAAAATACTTCTAATTTTATCTAGACAAACTCTTATTAAATAAGTGGGTTCCATAAAATTTTGATTTCTAACAAATTTTAATCAAAAACAAAAAAATATATTCAAAAGAGTGTGCGATATTTCTCATAGTCATAAAGGCAGGAAGGTGGAGAGGGGTAATTGGTATACAAAGAGAAATGGAAGGGAGACTGACCATTTCAATAACATTGGATTCATTTCCAGTTAGCTCTTCAATATCGTACTTCTCAGGATTTTCCTACACACTCAAAAGTGATTTGAAAAAAGAAAAAAGTTTAAAGGGAGAAATTGGTCACAAAGCATTAAAAATAATGGATTTGATTAAAAAAAAAAGATTTAACCTTTGCATCAAGTTCCAGTTGTGTATTTGCTTCTGACATCACTCCTAGGAAGTCTTTAACCTTTCCTAAAACTGCACAAAAAATAACATTACCTTTTAAGGACAAAACAGAAAAATGGTAGTTCCGTTTTACAACTTTGCCAGAGTTCTGCTGCATTCAACCAATAAATTTTGATGCTTATGACTAGAATATAACCAGTTACTGTAATATACACCCAATTCAACAGTGAAATATTAGGGTAAAACACCATGTTAGTAACGAACCAAACAACCTTGCAACAATGTTCAATGTATTGTGTAGACTGACTTTAACTGATGAGTGTTAGGTGCATACTCAATAAGTACCATTACAAGCACAACAGCAATTTAGGAACATCCAATATGTTAGGTGTCATGTTTATCCTGAGCATCATCATGAACATTGGTAACATATCCTAAGTAATGAGATTTGAATCATAAACGTGAAAATTAATCGATGAAGCAAACAAGAGTAGTCATCCTCCAAAAAAGCATGCAATGATTTTGTGGCAATATCAGTCAATTCCTAGTGCTTGACAATTTCAATGACATCAATTCCTAATGATGAAAGGCTTGATTGTTGTATTGAATCGGTTAATTCTCTAGTAAATTGTTTCTCAAAGTGTTTTTTTTAGTATAGTCCACATGTATCTTTTATTGGATACAATTCTATTTGAGTTGAACAAGATCATTATTAATGACAAAACTTTTTCTCTGAGGATTAAATACAATTGTATGTTCACGGCTTAAATTCGAGACTACTGATTAAGCTTTACAAAGATTTTAACTGTGAAATAAATGAAAAATCTATTTTCTTAACAGTCCCCTCTTGATTGCCCGGAAGGAAGCGTCTTGCTCTTTCTTCAATAATTTTACATTTCTTGTGGAGCTTTCAATAAGATTCAAACTTAGATGAAGTTGTAATCATCTCTTACAGAAAAATAAAAAATTCGCTCTATATCAATGCAATGTCATCATCCATTACATAATGAATTGATGTGGTATATTCAAATCACCCTCCAACCCAAAAAGAGAGTGGGGG